CACCGATTTCTGATTCGCTATTTTAGCATTATGACAATCCAGAGAAATACGATCCCGAACATTTTGCCCCGGATAAGGTGAAAAATCGTGACCCGTTCGCATATGTACCATTTTCTGCAGGCATTCGAAATTGTATAGGTATAACGAGTTTAATCAAACTAAACTCAGATTCATTCATTACACTCGATTTATATCAGATAAAATGAGTAATTATATTGCACCTAAACAGTTCATTAATACTTTCTTAGCACCAAATTTTTCAAAGACAAAAAACGCTCCAATCTATTCGCCGTAAAATCTTTTTAATGCAGGTAATAGATTTGCCAATTTGGAATTGGTAGTAACTTTGGCTCACATTTTGAGACGTTATCGAGTTATTTCAATGATACCAGAAGCGGAGAATCGACCAATACCGGAATTTACATTAAAACCGAGCAGAGGTTTTCCGATTCGCTTGGAGAGGAGATAATAATTGTTATCCTCTTGTTCGCATCAGCTCGTATAAAACTATTGCAATTTTTCAATTGATAAAGCATTGATAGCGAATAAAAGTTGAGATGATATTCTTTAAAACAAAAAAACAGCTATCAAAAATTAAAACAATAATTTGATGGTTTATTTTATTGAATAAGATATAGATAGACTTCTAATTGCGAACTGTAACCTGGTATGATGATGAACACTATTAACTTGCTGGTGTTTAAATGACCTTTCTATTTTAGGATAGATTTTAGAATAGCCAACATTTTTACTTCTTTCCACCTCCCTACGTCATCTTCCCTATCTTCACTAACAAACTCATCTTTATTAACAAACTCATTGCGCAATTTACTCGAAGAAAACCACTAGAATTGCTGAGTCAATTTAAAGATACAACAGAATAATCATATTAAAAATGGTACCGTTTTGTTGGAATATTTACTCATTTACATTCATTCGTTGATTCATTTTACCGCTGTATCACCAAATTTCTCCACTGATTTCTTGATAGTAGTAGATTCTTCCTGATATGAATCGATCGGATTATTTATCAAGTTGCAGAGTCAATGTAAGCAGCATAAGGTCACATTTATTACTTCATATTTTTGAGCAATTTCATGGATAATTTTTTTCTTTTTAAAAAAAAAAAATTAATTGAATAACAGTCTATGCGAGCTGTCTTGAGGGTTTGCGTAAGACAGAAAGCGCAACTATAGGAACAACATTTTTCTGCGTTGAAATAGCAATATTAGATGTGACATCTTATGGATTGAACAAGTTAAGTATTAACTATCAGAATGGAGCATTTAAATTTGTAGGATAATTTGAATGGGAGGTAATAATTTGAACATTAATAACTGTTTAAATATTCATCAACATTAATAACAGTTTAAGCATAATATTATGTTAGAGGAAAGAAAAAGCAGAAAAAGAAATTTAGAAAAATTTACAGCATGTACATACGATGAAATTGGAAATACGAACTGAATTGCTCAGATCAAAGTGTACGTGTTATTTTGAAATAAATTCATCCATTTAAATTTTGATATAAATTCATTCATTTTGAGATAAAGCCATCTACATGGAAAAGTCACATCAAAATTCCAGAAAATGAAACTTTTATGTAATAGACAGGCTAAATTGAGAGGTTGATATGTATCTGTCTGATATATCAATGATTATAAATGATAAATGTTTATGTTTGTGATTTTTTTTTTTTAAATAAGCTAAAGAATTAATTACAACAATAGGCAAATATTTCTTGTTGAAAACATTCACTATTCTCGGGACAAAAGTTATCGCTACAATTTTTTCCCAGCAATGCTATACTGAAACCATCACTGTTCAATTTCACCAATTTTCCTTTCGTACATGAGGGATTGAAATTTTTCGCAAACATTTCTGCAGTTTCATTTTTATTAGCAGCATAGATAAATAATATGCATGTATGATACAGGCTTAATTCGTGATAATTAGAAACATCAAATAGATTATATTCTAACTTTTAAACTCATTGCTTTCAAAGGAGATAATACATATATTGCAAGAACAAATAAATCAATTAAAATTTCAAAAAATAAACAGACTCAATAATTACCTTCAGTTTTTGCGGGGCAACAAATCCCGAAGAATGCCAAATGTCTGCATACGTATTTCTCGGGACATGGATCGGATAGTGGACCGGAACAGATCACCGTGCTACTCTCATTATCCTCATATGCTTTTCCTTTCATTGCACACCATCCATAATCTTCTGAAATTGTTGCTTCGGATAAAATTGCCTTTGTAATCCTGGCAAAATCCAATTTACTACATTTTCAATTTATCCAGTAATTCATACCTTATCTAAAGAAATAGTTGAATGTCGTAGAATGATATTGATATTATAAACAATCCAATTTATTTATAATTTAATTTAATTTGAAAATTAGAAAAAGAATTACGTGGAATGCAATTTAATCTACATGTTTCAATATTTGAAAAGCGATTTTCACTGCCACCGCAACCTTCGTATAGAAATGGTAGACATTGTTCTGTTTCATTATCAAAATAGAACTGTAACTTTTCGTTTCACTTTATCATTTATCACAACTCTAAAAGATAATTTTTTAAAATTTTGAAAATAAACTTCAGACTAACATTATCAAAATAAATATCTATTTTTGAAACTTTTTACTAAAAATAGAGAAGAAAAAAATATCGCTGTTTACCATAACATTCGGTTTTGTATCATTTTCACAACGATATCCGCGATCTTTCATTGCTTTGCAATCATTTAAGAAACTGAAAAATAGCATGAAGTAATAAGCATGCTTAATCGTAACATATTTTAAAATTGATACTATTACTTAGACTTTCTCTATACACAAACATTCCAATCAATAAGGCTATATCATCAAGCATTGAATAGCTGAGATTTGATTAATTAATTTTCATTTAATTATCTTAATTTTTTGAAGATACAAATAAAACCGACATTCTTCAACAGCTATCTCACTTTCAATATTTTATGTAAATATCGCAAATTACTTTACTTCTCGTGAAAATATCATTGTAATCATGATATTTCCGCAAACTTATAAAACTAAGATTGCGAACAAATTACCAATTACTGCCAATTATGCAAATTAATAGAAATAAAAGGTTAAATAGCATGGTTACACAATTCGCAATATTCAACATTTCCGCCGCGATAAATCAATTCTAAAATAAAATATTTATTAAAAATTTTTTCAAATTATGAAATTTTATCAATGCAATTAATAATGAATCAGACACAGAACAAAATTCAAACATCTTAAATTAAGCTAATTAAATTGAAAAAAAAAAACCTCCTTCATCTCATCTCTCAAACAGAGAAAGAAGAAAAAGGGAACATTGATTGTGATGGCAAATGTATGATTGAAATGACTAATTGCACATCAAATCACTTCTCTAATTTGGAAATTTTCAAGGTGGAAATCCTAATAAATATGGTATGATCATCGCTGTATGTGTATGTGTCATCATTTCAGCAATTTTTTATTTAATCGATCCGAAAAGCAATAAATTTTATATTTAAATTTTCATTGAATTTAATAAATATACATTTATTATACTAATAAATGATGTATATTGATTGATTAAAAATTAATGAAAAAAAAAAACTTTTTTTTGGCAACATATATCATTTATTGATTAAGTGTAAGAATTTAGTGCATGTGTAGAGAGAGTAACTGCAACTGTAACTGCATTTCCCATCACATGCAGAATACTGGTTTACTTGTTTGTTTGCAAATTGTACAACTGTTGAATGTTTATGTATTAATAGGAACAAAAAGAGAAGCAATACTTTTCAGGACTACATAATTTTGAATTAATGAATTCTGGATGGAAGTATAGATTATAGTTATCTTATTTTCTTCCTTTTTTTTACATCAAAATACATAAAAATAGAGAAGCATTGATCAGAGAGGAGAACATTAATCACGCAGTACATTATTTGATCACGTAGCGTAGGAAAGAAATTTAATCGAATAAGGAATAGGAATAGATTCAATAAATATACAAAAATTACCATACCATTCTCCAAATTTGACAAAAATACTCATTTTTTACAAGTGACTGGTTATTTGCAGTGGAATAGGAATAGAATAGAATAGAATAGAATAGAAAAGATGTATGCATAACATCTTTTTTTTTTGTTCACAATGATGAGAATTAATCTTTGAAAGTTTACTCAAAAATTGATGATTGGAATTGAAATGGGTACGTGTTTCAGAGAAATAAAAACACTTCAAACTGGCTTTCTCCATTTTCGATACACTTCAGCCATTTCTTCATTTTACTCCTTTTTTTTTTATTACATTCATCACATGACGGTAAAAATTATTTTTACACTAATTCCACTGCTGACTGTTTCACATCAACTTCTTTTTTAGATAGACTAATTAACACACCAATATTATCATTGATATATGTTATATGTCACTGCTCGCGTATATTTTCAAAATGTGGCTATGTTAGCTGTGAAGTATGAATGATGTCAAGACGTGATGAATATAGAGTTGCTAGTTTAAGCTGACGTTAGTATAAGATTCAACAGTTATTTGCTTAGTTCATCATAAAGATATCCTCACAAAATGAAATCAAATTTCTAATATTTTATTTTGCATTTAAGTATGATAAAATGTAGGAAATAAATGTATCATAAATGAAAGATCAATAATGGATAATCGAGAATTAAATTTCAAACCTTTCAAAAAATCTGGATAATGAACTTTTAACATACATATTTCTTTTCAAAATGTATAGATTCCCCTTCAATCTGAAGAATGGTATGACATACTGATTATGACAAGATAGGAAATAAGTGAAGTACCATTCAATTTTATAAAATTAAATCTCATTCCTATTACGCTTTTCACTTTCCATCTTCTTTTCTACTTATCTGAACAGAGAGAATTAGAAGTGAAAGGAATGCCAATCAGTCTCTAAAAAAGAGAAGAAAAACTGAAATCCACTGAAATAACAGAAATAACTACATTAATAGAAAAGAGAGCAAACAAATACAGAAATATGAAAAGCCTGTATGCATATGTAAATGCATTGGAACAATATGAAAAATTGGAATATCTAAAAATTGAAAATAGCGCAGCGTTTTCGTTTTTCTTAAATGTCTAATAATCTTTCAGTCCTTCTAAATATCGACTTCTGTCATTTACAACCAATTTTGAGCAGAGTTTTAATTTTCAAGTACAGCAGCTGCTTCCATCTTATTAATGTTAAAAGCACACATAAAATAAGTGTAAGTAACTTAGGCATCATGAAAGTTCGATAATCAAATAAATATGAAAAAGTTAATAAAGACATTCAAATTCTTCAACTTCACTTATTACTGTACTATATGCATACATAATATTGTCAGAACATTTAACAAATCGTAGGTAACGGATAAACATGAGAAAATAAGAACAGTGATATGCAATAGTGATATGGTATAGAAATGTATGAAAGATAAGATTGAAATAAATTATCATTTGAAGCAATAAAATCCAAATAAAGCGAACAAAATTCAAAATGCTTTTATATTGGCAGTGTAGCAAAATTTTTTTAAGTAGCTGCATGCTATAGTATATCACAGCTATCCCTCCTTCAGGGATTTCGGAAATTTTTTAATAGTGACAACAAGTTTAAATTATATAAGACTGATTAATAAAAAAATCAACAAAATTTCATATGAAAGAAATATAATCTGTATTTAAAGCTACCAGATTCAGATACCATAAAATCCCCACATAGAGATAAGGTAGAAAAGTTAATTTTAATCTGCACATTTAACTATATTCATCAGCGGGCAATTCAAACAATTTACAAATTTCCATTCATCAACGGCATGCTTCAAATCACATTTTGGTAATTGTTTTCCACAATCAGAGCACATTTTAACATCACTATTATTTATTTGATAATCAACGGTTCTATTCTGAAAAAACTATTTCTGAGTCAATAATTTAAAATTCGACCTGAAATACACATTTATGAAGGCCAACTATGAGAAAGTGTGCACAACTGATGAAATAGAAATGACTTATTAGCATTTATCATCAAGCTATGAATGCTATATAAAAATATATATCACGATTAAGAAATATACTAAAGTCCAGGACTAACGACCTATTTCGCATTTAGCTTGTAGCAATATGTACCTCACATTTTGGAAAAAAAACCTCAGGTGTCATGACAGACGTATATGGTGGAGGAGGAGTGTTAATCTGCGATTGATAAACATGATGTCTCGGCTCACTACGCCGTTTTGGCACTGATATCGGGGCACTAGACCATGAATTATTTTCCGACACTGTTAAATCGTGTTGCAAAGATCTAGAAAATAAAGCTTATTAAATCTGAAATTAGTATAAACTGAATCACCAATAAAGACCTTCATACCTTCTCAAATTCTCCACTCGATCTCTAGTCAGTGGTGCTCCACGGTAAATCATATGGCGCACATCTTGATTTGATACCGCCGGTACCATTTCAATTATTTCACGCTGACAATTGAAAATAGCTTGACAACTTCGAGCAAAGTCTTGGTAAGCATCCGCTATACCCTGCAAAAAAAAAAATGATTTACGAAGAAAAGGAACTGAAAAATGTACAATTAAAGCAATATGCACGCTTGGCAACATGGTTCTTTACTTGTATCTAATATTAGAAACAAGCCTGTAATCTAGACTTTTTTCTTCCATTTTTGATAAGTTTGTCCATTTTGGACTGCCTAATCTTAGTTCATAAAAATGAAACAAAATAACTGCCCTAACCTGCATACCATTCCGAAATCTGAACATTTTCACAACTTCCATTTCAGCTCGAAGAACGGACAAAGACTGTTCAGCTTGTTCTCTCGAAGTTCTGACCTTAAAAAAATTCAGAAGTACAAAAAAATCGACTTCAGAAATTTTTCCACCTTTCTACAATGTGACAGTTTTATTCTTCTTAGCAATGACCATGTCATTTATATTAAAAATATAAAATTCTCCAATTATCACCTCTTCAAGTTTTTGATTCAGCAAATAAAGGTCGCCACCGCGACGCTGTCTGAAAAATGAAACGCCTTTCCCAACTTCCCGTTTTAACTTCTTTTCTTTTTCTTTCAAATTCATCACATTTTCTTCCGCATCTTTTACCATACGCTCTGCATCTACTATTTTTCGCAATTGCTAAATGCAAAATAGAAAATTGAATATATAATTTTGCATAAACAACAGGATATTTAGGAATTTCATTTACAGTTGCTAGTGATCACCACATTCTATTCTAATTAACATTATTATCTCACTAAGAACTTTGATGCAAACTATTCGAATTATACATTTGTCATCTCTTGTCTAGTTGTTATTTGAAAATGTCAGATCGAATATACTTTTGATTTCCTGTCTAACACTCAATAAACGAAGTGATGAAAATACAAAAGGATCATCGGATTTTTTATGATAGATATCTGAGAGCGATAAAAAACTGATCATACTTGCACATAGTGAGTATATTCGCAGGCAAACTGTAGTTCTTTATCGATGAATATTTCATATAGTCGCTTGGTTTGTTGCATAACATCATCAATTGCTGCATTACCAGTATTATGTGCCCATAGAGCCAATGATTCCATACCACGACGTTGCGTATTGGCAATTTTGGTCATTAATTTTCTGGAAGATATTTCAACAATCTCAGTTTGCTATTTACTTCGAATGAAAATCCCACCAAAATTATTTGATCATTTAGTAATGCGTGTTTCCAGTAGCGATGTAAATTGTTCATCCGATAATCACAATGTAAGATCGTCTACTGAAGGTTGATGATACTCATAAAACCATATTTCACTGTGATTTCACTTATATTGTGATTTCACTTACATTGTGACTTCACTTTTTTTGCCTTCCAACTAAACAGTGAAGCGAATGATGGGAAACGCCTACTTTCCGTTGATCAATATCCTGTATCGGTTAATAGATATTCGAAGAAAAAAATAAAATCTAACAATAAAAAAAAGTTAGACGAAAAAAAATACTTGTCATGATAATAATATATTCAATGAAAGAAAACATCATACCCTGTAGTGGATAAATCCAGCAATGCTGACAGAATTGATCCTGAGCAACCAGTACTGCCAGTGTGAAGGAATTGTGATAATTTACCAAAAGAAGTGGTTCTGCATCCTTCAAAGTTTATTCATTAAAGATAAAAAACACCTAACGAAAAGTCACTTGAAAAAAACAAAAGAAAGCGAATCGGATCAAATTTGGAAACTCGTCGTTGATTAAGAACAGTCGAGAAAAGCAAAATTCAGACAAACTTCGAAATGGTTTGTTTGTCTTATCAGCATTGTCTGTACTACTGCTACCGCTGCTAGCATTGCTATTGTTGCTGTTCATTGTTGGTAAAGCGGAACATGAATGCCTAAATTTTTATTCATGTATCAGTTTAGCCTAAAAATACGACATAAAATCCTACAAAAAGATTTGGGAAGAATGAAGGATATAAACTTGAACACTGATATATAACAAAAAGAAAAAAAAAACAAACAAATGATATCGAAGAATTGATAAACACACTACCTATCTACATTTTTTTCTGATGTACACAAGGTATAATTTTTTTTTTTTTCAGAGTTTGCTTGGATGCATAGTACCTCTCTGTTTTTGTAGCTGTGAAAAAAGATTTCCTATACAATGGAAAGTAATTATAACATATGTGATAAATTTAATCTTTAAAAATTTTATCACACTGTTTCACAGGTAATGGAATGGTACCGATAGCATGTGCTAACCACATTTTTTCCTAACAAAATTTGGAGAAACCTTTGGAAACGTTGCACTGAAAGATCACTCATCGTCAGTATCAAGTGGTTTCAGTGGATAATTTCAAAATATATCTTCGTTGGAGACTGGCAAGAATAGACATATATCCACGCAATGACCTTTGTCCCTCCTGAAAACAAAAGCATTGGTATAAATATGTTGTAGCTGAACTTAGGCTAACAACAGAGCAGAAGAGACACTCGCAAAACTGAATTGAACATAAAGGAAATTGGAGATTTACAGTGAATACGGCAAATGCATTGGTTAATGCAATGACCTTTGTTAAAATCAATATTCAAATAGGGATCGCTTATTTGGACGACTTTTGTCCAAAATTCGATCAATTATTGCAAGGAAAAAGTGGCGTACAATGAAGGAAGAGATAACAAAGAAAAAAAAAACGAATGTTACAACAAATGTTATCTTGCATCATGGGATCACTATAGCATCACGTACATATAAAATTAATTTTCAACTTAATTAGCTTTTGGAATATATAAGGCTAAGTTTACCAAAAAAATGAATCAGTGGAAAAGAATCTTCTTATTAATGAGCAATAAATGTAGGCACAGGCAAAGTAATACAACGTACTCAAAAGAATGCCTTCCTATGAGACGACTATTATTACCAGTATGTTTGAACTTTTAGCTATAAAATCAATATATCGGGAAATGCAAATGGAGATTTTCAAGTATTTCTACTCACACCTTAAACCTGAATAAAAGTATGGAGTTCACCTCTATCATTATTATCATCGATCAAAGATATGATACACCTATGATGAAATAAGCAAATAATGGACATTATCAGAATGCGCATAAAAATCATCTTTCTAATCGAAGTTTCGAAATATTCCGTTAAGCACTCATTGGCACAGCCAATTACCTAAATGGATAATTGATAAATGGGTAGCACTACAAATTATCACTTCATTGTTCTTACCTATACCAAAAACACACCATTTATTCACTAAAACTTCTTTATAACCTCACTATTTCTAGAAGATTTAAATATTTTTTGATTTCTTATCACCAAAAAATGGATGTCTTATTGTTGCTCATTTCCGGAGTTCTGATTGTTGAATTCTGAAGATTGTGAGGTAATCACAATAAGTTTCTGATAAATATGATTATAAAAATTAACAGAGAAACAATTATCAAAAAAAATAATTAAATTAATAAAAACAGAAATCCTGAATTCCAAGAAATGAATTTAGCCTGTTAAACACTGAAGCAAATATCAAGAGTACATCAGATGTGGCACAGTATTGACACTTAATTATTGTGTGATGCTTGATTCATTTCTTTTTTTTTTCAGATAAAAAATCAAACTTATCATAACTTCAGGAAAAATATTACAATATACCGAAATTAAGAAAATATTGATGTGTTAGAATTGAAAAGGATTGCAATTATTGCATTAACGAATAACGCCATATTGTGAAAGATGACTAAAGTTATACCTCGCACTCTATGGCTTCGGAGTAAGAAATTTCATCAATTAATTGACAATATTCTGTAACCATTAATTTCAAAAATATTTGTCTTCGTTTAATTTATACTTTTAAAAGCAAAGGAAATGATTATGAGCAACATGAACATCAGAAATTGATATCACATTAATACATAGTTCCAAAATATGTGTTAGAGAAAGGAATACAACAAAACAATAAAATAGAAGTGAAATCTAACAACTGCGAAAGTGATTTTTATAAAAATTTTTAAGATATTTTTGCATTGGCATTTTGCTTCAGAGCTGCTGAAACCTTTTCACGCATTTCCTGAAAATGAGGAGGTACAAAAATATAACAATATTTTAATTTTATAGAAAGTTAATCTTTCCCATCCGCTTTCCTAATATTTACAGTGAATTATCTTAGAAAAAATAGAAATGAAGATATAAAAGCAGCTTTTGAATGATCCATAAAAACTAACATGAAATTACCACTGAAAGAGCCTCAAGATCATCAAATTCATTCCGGGATAAAGTGGATCATAAAACAAAATAAAGAATATAATCATTGTATAAATTAGTATATTCAGTTTCTGCTAATTAGATACTTCCGTAAACAACACATTATTGTGTTTGTGCTTTAAAAAAATTATGTAAAAAAACGGACAGTGATTGCTATTGCTGGACTGGGAGCTTTCAGAATTCCCGTCCCTGAAACGATTACATTTGCACCAGCTTTTGCGCAAATTTCTACATTATCCAAACTAACACCACCATCGACTTGAATATTTAAAAATGGATGTGTAGACCGAAGAACTCGGACTTTCTCCATCATATCTGCCATGAACTTTTGACCTAAAAGAATACTGATTAAAATCCATTAGAGAATTTAACATAAGGAAATCATAAAGATATTTAGAAGTGCCAATTTAGCCGACTATGCATATGTCAATCAAATTATGCGCCAACAAATGCTAAAAACGTCCTTTTTCTGGAAATTATGAATAACTATGTATACACTTTCAAGCGCTTAATTCATAACATTCCATCCCGAAATCACCAAACATTGCGAAATATTTCCAGTGCACTTGTTATCATGTTGTATAATAATACCAGATGATAAGCACGGCAAATAAAAGTGTTTAAAACAGGTACAAACAAAACTTCTGCTATATTCGATCATTAAAGATATCATTTTTTGTTATTCAAGATCAGAATAAATCTTTATTTAGTGTAAGGAATGAAGAAATGTATGCTGCATGCAATTTGCCGTTCTCACAATTAAATAAAAGCATCCAATCGATAACCTCCGAATCCAGGTTCGACGGTCATTATCAAAACCATATCCATGCCAACAAGTTTTTCTATCTTTTCTATCGGCGTGTGAGGTTTTATTGCGACACCAACCTATAGTGCAAAGTACGATCAATTTCGGCACACTTAAACTTCTTCAATCTTGTTGCAAATATCAGAAGTAAATCTTTTTATGTGTATCAATCGTCTTCAGCAAAATGATTCATCATGCATAGTGCCTGCATAAATATATGATAAAAAATAATGTTTGTTAATATCTTCAGATCAAATATTATGTAATAGAAAAACCTATATATGAAGCGGCATTCAACGCATAATGCAATCTAACACTTGAAAATGTGCTTTCTTATTCAAGAACATAAAGAAACTTTTAAATTTTATTGAAGAGTAAAAGAGAGATAACATAAAAATACGGTCACCACAAACAACTGTAAACGTGAACCGACAACAGCTAAAATTTATTTTCAAACATTTACAAAAAGTTTCAATATTTATCTGAAGCTCATCTACTAGTGCTCAATTCAACACTAAAATCTTTTCCCCTGATGAGATATCTTGAAACAAACAATCCTATATTCCTCTTTACTTTAACCGATCCCTCATCTCCTTTTATTTCCAATCCAATGTAAGATCTCAAAACCCAAACTTCAAACTGCCCATGAAGTATTGCAAAATTTCAGATCAAAAACTATAGCATATCTCAGCCACATTTTTCATTTATTTACAAAAAAATGGGTCTAACCTTCATGCCAAAATGTTTAATTCTATTAATAAGCATCTGGCAGCTTTCATCCGATTCCATGGCTTCCAAATGAAATACATATTGGCTTGCACCCGCCTAGAACAGTAATTATTAATTATTAATACTTTCTTATTCACTATCCATTGTATTTTCTTCTACTTTCCGTGATACTATGCTATCCACTAGCATATCGTGTCATGCTGATAACTATAGTCCAAATAAGTAAAGTGTAAATAACGGATAACCTTTTTCATTGGTTCCACCCATCGTTCCGGATTAAGAACCATCATATGAACGTCAAAAAATGGTTCCGGTCCAAGATTCCGTCGCAGACAATCAATAACTGAAAAAAGAAATAATAAATCTAAAATTAAATTTTTTCCCACAATATTATTAATCCAGATCTCCTTGCTCAAAATGAAATAGTAGCAGTAGAAGTGGTGTAAATAAAATACAGTAAAATTATCAATAATTATGCAGAAATACATGTGATCCGGAACAATGCATCATTTTGCGTAGCAGTAAGCTAATCCGGAATAGAGAAAAGAATTAAAGCAATGAAATCAAATAAAACGTCACCTGGATGTCCGAATGTCAAATTGGGTACGAATTGACCGTCCATCACGTCAAGATGAAGATAATCGGCTCCATAGTCCAACAACCTTTGGCATTCTTCTGCAAGCTTAGATAGATCCGAATTTAAAATTGATGGACATATTATGGGTTTTAAAGCATTCGTGCTGCACATTTCCTGGAACAAAATTCGATAAAACGACGATACATAAAAGCTGCTAAATTCATCTTTACTCGTCGAACTTGTGTTTCCTTAGCTCCTATTATGCCTAATACTTAAATTTAAAATAAGAAACTTAGCATTCGCTTAATTTCAGAAATTTGCAGCAAATTTCAACTGAAGTTACTACGACTAATCCACGCCAACAAAACTAAACCATCTTCGCCACAGCTGATTACATTATAAGGAAAAGAAAAAAAAGCGTTTAAAATTAAAACGGTCCACCTCTGCATGAAGCATCTCGCTATGAAAAGTTAGATTCAGAAAGTTCAAAGGTCGGGCTCAAATTCTGCAGTATCATTATTGAAAATGACTGCAAAAGTTTTATTATGAAGCACGGATGGTTCTGTTATTCATCCCATTTTCAGGCCATGTTAACATTATCATCCTTTAGGCAAACTATGTGCTTCATTCAGGCCTTTTTCGAATTTCCTTCGTACACTTATCAGAATCCTTTACTTTCTCAATTCTTTTTACTTTTACTTCCATTTCATTGTAATTTTATTGCCTCATTTCATTTACAGCGTTCAAAGGTCGTGATCATCTGACGGAACAGCGGAAGGAGTAAACGAGAATATCTCCTCTTTTTTCACTCTCTGTTGATTTCTCACTGCTATGAAATGGAACATTTTTCCTTTCCCTCTCGAGGGATGATGCCACTTCTCGGTCCCACCGATAGTAGCAGTCGTCTTTCTTTTCTCACTTCTCCTCATTCCAACATTAATCCTTCCATCATTTTTTCTAAGTTCAACTTTATCGTGCTCTCTTCTATTCCATTCATTTCCGTTATTTAATTTTTATAAAAGTTGCAATATATCACAATTGGCAGAAGTTATAAAATTTTGACCATTCATATATATTCCAGTATTGTTCATTTATGTCCAAAGGAAGGATAAATTAGTTCAGATTACTTATTCATATCGTTTGCTTTTATGTTCTATTTTAATTAACAGTTTTATTTTCAAAAGAACAAATTGATATATTTTAAAAGTAAATTTCGTTTGAAGAATGCGTAATGGTTTGTTTTTGAACATTTGCACAAATCATATGTCTGCAAGATGTTGACAGCGTTATGATATTCATTATTAGCATTATTGGTTATTAATTTTTCAAAAACATTTCAATGATCATGAGCAGAAACACACTCTGAGCCTATTGTTTGAGGATTAAAATGTTTAAATTCTTAAAATCGATATGAAAAAATAATCATATTGATTAGAATACGTTAATTTCTAAATGATTTGATTACAAAGTAAGTGTGTCTGGAAAACACTCGAATATCAAACGTAAGGAACTCCTTTAATTACAAAGATGAAATCAATCAATTTAAAAAAAAAAAAAAGCATACCGCAATCTTATATAGAATATATGTCGATTAATCTGTAAAATCCCGGATCATCCGGTGAATTTTTCTCAAAAGGAAATTAGAAATTCAGAATCCATCGGGAAATAGAGCGGTTCAGAAAAGCGCCACATATTTAAACGTTTTTGGATTCCTTCAACGAAAAAAAAAAGAACAAAAATCATTGACCAAAAAATAAGAGAGCGCAACAAAAATTATCATAAAATTTTTGCATAACAAGTAAACAGCATGGAATGCCAGAAGGAGCGAATTACAGTTATTTGTGAATTCTCATTCACGTAAATTCACGCAAGCTTTTTGCTTAAATTCGAAGAGAGAATTTTGAAAAGTTGGTTTGCTTCTCAGTAGATTCTTCCTTTTTCAATCGACCTCTGATACCTCAGCTTCACTACTATTTTATGGAATTATTCTGGAAATTTGAAATTCGTTTTGGATTAAATAAGAAGAAACAAGAGAAAGGAAATATTTGTCATTATATTCTACTTTTAAGAGTGTTCTTGTATTGCTAAATAGTATTAATAATTAATTTGAAAACTTTAAAGTTTTTTTCTGTGAAGTCAAGAAAGCCTTGGATAGGCAATGATGATAACATTATAGTAAGAAATGTATTGAGAATGATATCATAGCTTAATATGATTAGCACCTTATTCAGATCATCATTGATCAATTCACCCGAGAAAGATATTGTCACTGCTTTTTGAAATTTGCTTATTGTTAACGATTGTTATTATTGTTGTTGATGATCAGACGTGTCTGAAATTATTTTTCGGAATAACGCTTAATACAATCGTTGCATTTATTCATCAGCTATTTAATTGAGAGTAATGTTTCGCTGAATTTTTTTTTTT